TCCCCCGGCCCTCCCCGCTGGGCCGCGCGTCTCTGTGAGGTAGGGCCGCGTTCCGGCTGGTGCCAGATGCAGCCCCCGCAGGACTGCGCGGGCAGCGGAGCGTTCCCTGGCGCGCCGGCCCTGCCGAAGTCCGAGCTTGGGTGTCTCGGGAGGAGGCAGGAGCTCAATCGCATCGGTGGGTCCGGCCGTCAGAAGCAAATTCACGCTCCTCTGGGCTCGCCATGCCTCTGCGGCCTCCCAGCCAAGTGCTGTTGCTGATGGTATTGGCTGGGATCTGCTGAGAACGCCGCATGGGAGCCTGGGCCTGCAGGGCCCTTTCACCAGTTCTGACGGCTGCTATTGTTTAAATAGCTGCAAGAACATTTTTATGGCTCCTAATAAACTGCTGGGAATTGTTACGAACACAAGAACTAATGTGTTTTCAGTTAATAAAAGCCCTGAAATGCTATGTTGTTCTTTCCAGGAACTTCCGCTGTGACTGTGGAAATAGCAAGTTCAAAAATCTGCAGTGCAAGTTACTCCCAGTAAGTTCCGAGTAGGTTTCATACATATAGAATCAAAGTAACAATCTTGGGAGGCTGGTGCCTTGCTTCAGCCAGTGCTGACTCACAGCTCTGCATTTTCCAGCAAGTTAAACAATGTAGGGGTATTACAGCAGGAGATAAAGCTGTTGAGGAGCCAAAGGGAAGTGCTGCAAGGAGGAAGATGCTTCTATGAATGCAGCGGGTTGCATTCGTGGTCAGTGTAGTGCCAGAAACATGTTGTGCCTGCACCGAGATGTCTCATTAGCTTTAAGCTGGTTTCAGGAGAACTTTTTGGAGTGCAATTTTGCAGTTGTGTTATGGATATTCAAGGTTGTGCTGCTGTCAAAGGGTCAGCTCCCTGCCCTTCTGTGTAGTGGCATTAGTGCCCTATTCTTTTTTGATAGGATGTCACTAGAGCCTACAGATGGGATAGTTTTTTACTGTACTGAGCCCCCTGTACTTTTCATAGTCAGCGGATATTTTTGACTCATCAGGTAGTTGGCAATCTGGGAAGCGGTGACAGGAAGCAGCTTCGTTTGCCTGTGGTGCTGCTCCCAGGGTAATAACAGTACACATGAAGAAACAGCAAGTGATTTTGTGTATGCCCATTTTGTTTCAGCAGAGTTGGGACCAATCCAGAGCTAGTCAAGTCTAGGGCTACAGTCCAGTGATCCCTGCAGAGGGACCTCTGACAGTTTTAAGATGTTACTGTTTCTCGATCGATTAAAAATATTGGATCATAGGCTTGTTCTGCAGATTAATTGACCTTTGGCATCTGTCCATTAATCTGGTGAACTTCATGGATGCCGGGTGCTCACCTCTTCCTTTGTCAGAGTGGTGGTAGATGGCATTTTGTAATAACATCTTAAATGGTCACAGCTGCTTCTGCAGGGGCTGATGGTGGCCTCAGGCTGCAACTGTGCAGTTCTGAAGCCCTCTGGCTGATGGCTGCAATTGTATTAACTGTTGGGTTTTTTTAAATTGGATTACCTGTAATTGAGTTTCATTCAGTATGTTTTGTAATTTGGATAATCCTTTCCTGTAGAGTGAGGTTTGCATGATGGGAATTTAGTGGAAGCTTTGTGGTAAATTAAACTAATTTGAGTTTGGATCACAGACTGGATGTTTAAAAAAAACAAAGGAGGAGGTACCCAATAAATGTACAGACATTACTAATATCATCAGGCAGGCATGGTTGGTGAGCAAAACTCCTGCATCATTTTAGATTAGCAGTAGCTTAACAAACACCACAGTTGCTGTTTGTTATGAAGAGGGAAAGACTTTTTCCTCTTTCCTTCTCAACTTCAGTATTCCTTGCATGCCTTATTGGCTGTTCACTGTGTTCCTACGTGTCTGGATAATATCTTTCTTTTTGGATCTGCAAGCTGGTGAGTATAATGGTTGCTTTAGGAATTAAAGTGAAACAGGTTTTTGCAGATTTTACCTATTTTCTGTCTTGTTTTTCACTGCATTGTCTGCTGAGACATTTCTTCCTTTCCTCCTAGGAAAAGAGCAAGGTGAATTCAGGAAATAAGTATAATGACAATTTCTACGGATTGTACTGTACTTGTAAAAGACCATATCCAGATCCTGAAGATGAGGTAAGAAACCCAAAACGTAGTAGTACTCGTATATAGATGGTATTTGTGCAAAGGGTCATCGCTGAGCTGCTTTACATATGTTCAGTCTTGCTTTTGGTCATATGCTGTATAAAATAATTACCAAGGTTTCCTTAAATGGTAGAGTGTATTTATATCTTAATGACAAACAAGGAGCACAAACCATAATCTGGACAAAACGCTGCTACAGTCCTCTCTGCTTTCCTGTTTTAAGTTACTGAGTTCCCTTAGGGGGTGGGTTTCTCATTATCCTGGGAAATGTGGCAAGCACAGAACGAACATACTGAACGTGTTAGGAGAGACCACAATCTGCTTCCTTATGCCTGCAGCAGTGCCCTGACAAGGCTTCTGGGGTGGGGAGAGCCTATCCTGTAGCACTGCCCTTAGCTTTCCTTACAGTAGTCAGAACACTTTGTTTCAAGCATCAAGTACCTGTCTTTGCTAAGCTGCCTGCATTTCTGTTTACAGCAAGAAAGATACCAATAGTGTATTAACTTTTATCAGCTCTTTTGTGTGAGAGTGTCCTGCTTTACTGGGAAAAGTAGTTTTGTAATAATAAATGGGAATTTCCAGTCTTGATAATATGACAAATGCTGTTGAACTTCAGGGAAGCAAACTGACCAGTGAAGCAGTAACTACTTATTAATGGCAGCTCCCTGTGTGTGGGGGGCAGGGGAAAAGCAATTCACTTGAGCAGGCTTTGCATAATGCTGCAAGTTGAGGCTTGTGAAAGATTCTGGAGGTTGCTGTTAATGCTAATAACATGACCATTCATCTAGATTCCAGATGAGATGATCCAATGCATAGTTTGTGAAGACTGGTTCCATGGAAGGGTAAGGAAACTATAAGCAGCAGAATGGGATGGTTGAGTTTCTGTGGTTATTCTTAAATGGGGAGGCTTGCTTTCATTCTTAAAAGGTTATTATATGAGTTCTAAAGTGTTTCTTTTCGTCCTATGCAAAGGAATATTGAAAGTTTAATCTTGTGCTTCTGTCCACTCCAGTCCAAAAAACCTAGGAAGAGGTCTACCTTTATTCTGCAGCAGTAGCCTTCAAAAAACCATAACTTTATAGCTGGCTCTTTAATTGGAAAATTCTGCTCAGTGAGAAAAATTTTCTTACTGAGGCATATCATTATCAACTACCTGGATAGTTTGTCATCCAGAAAAATGCTTTTTGAACTGTAATTCCTTTAAATAGCAAGGAACAAACAGCGTAGTTGGTTCCTGATTATCAACTTTGGGAAAATCTTTCAAAAGCAGCTCAGCACTTCAGTGAGTGCCCTACTTATCGTATGCATTAAGGATTCAGCCTCTCGTGCCTTGAAGGGCACGAGTGAAGTTCCATGTTTGAAGTTGCAGGATCAAAGATTTTTTTTTTGTTTAAAAAAAAAGATGGCTGGCTTCAGTTATGGGTTTTGTGGATAAACTATAGGATTCTTTTGTATAAATGTACATATTAAGAATGTTATGCTGCATACTGCAAGCTTTGCAAGAGTGCTTTTCAAAAGAAAGCTTTTGATTGCCTAAATAGTTCGCACAACGTCATGGAGAACTTTTGGACCTAGTTCTTCTAAACTTCAGTATGAAGACTTAAAATATAAGGAAGTAGGTATAAGTTACTGAAGAGTTTAAACGTGCAGTGTGCTATAGGTATCGTCACTTGTCCTGTGCTTAGAACAGTTTAGAAGAATAACATTTAGAAATGAGAAAAAGATAGGACTGAGATTTCTGATATGTAAAGGGCATAAAAGGCTGTTGACAAAATTAAATTTTTCCCTGGAATTTTTATCAGCTCTTTCCAGTCTTTAAGTTGTAATCATTGTAGGAAGTTAGCAGGAGTGTGTGCTTGTGCTGGAAATGTGATGGCAGTTGATGTTTTACTTCCTCTAAACCTGGAGAGAAGTCCGTTAATTTGCAGCAAACCTTTTGCTCCTGTGTGCTTGTTTCTTTTTGATAGCATCTGGGTGCAGTTCCCCCTGACAGTGGAGACTTCCATGAGATGGTGTGCCAAGCCTGCATGAGCCGCTGCCATTTCCTGTGGGCCTACGCATCACAATTGGCAGGTAAAGAAAATTAAGGTCTCTGAGCCAGTATTTCCTTAGCGTATTTCTCACCCTTGGTTGATTAATGACATCATACTCTTCAAATAGTTAGAGAGATGATGTTCATTATATTGGACAGTTGCCTTCAGCAGTAGAACATGCAGGGCTGCAGTAGCTGTTCTGTGAAAAAAAACCCACAAATATTTCTTGCTCCTAAATCTTAATTCTACGATGCTCACTGTTTTACTGATGTTATCAAAGATGTGCTAGCACAGGATGGATGACAATTACATACTTGTCTCAAGGAATGTCATTTCTAAACTGAATCAAAGAACCGAAGAGCCATGCTAAGGGAAGCAATGAGGCAAACAGCTGAGACTGAGGCTCTGAGCAGCAAGGAGTGAGTGATAGTGAGTGAAAATGCATGCGTAAAATCTTACCCTGGGTAGAGCAGGGGCTGTGCTCAGGACACATGTTCCCTGTGGTCACACCAGGCCTCTGTCTGCTGTGTGGTCTCTGTGGGATCAGAAGGGTAGATGACTTGATTTCTGTGGAAGGAGCTGTTTTTTGTAGTCTCCTAAATGTTGCTTATATCAGCAGGTGATTGATCCCTTACATGCCAGGAATGTCAGTGGTAATTTTAAGGATTCCAAAATGGCTTACCTGAAGTTCTCTTCTTTCTAATGTAAATACAGTACAGAATGGGTTTTTTTGTTTTTTCTCTCCCTAACCAGTAATGTCACAGAGCACATATTTGAATTGACATCAAAAGAAAAACTTGTTTTAAATAAGGAAGTGGTTAGTGTAGTTAATCTGTCATAGAGTTTTTGTTGTGTGTGTGTGTGTGTGTGTAGAAAATGAGGGATTCTGAAACAAAGTCAGCACAAAAGTACCCAACAGCTATTGAACCTGCCATAGCTATCAAGGGATGTGAAGGACAAGCCTCTTAGTAAAGAAATATATTGTGATACTTTTTCCCTCTCCTACGGCTTGGACTTTGGGAAGCAGAGTAGTTCAGAATTAGGAGTATGAGAAGGAAGAAGACTATGGTGAAAGAGGGAGCAGTTTCTTTCTATATCTAGGTCACCCTGTCTTTGAATATATCCAGGACCCTGCAGTGTGCAACACCACCTAGGTGCAGAGGGAACACCTGTGGCTAGCCTGCACATTGTCTGGCACAGTATTTTCACTTACACGGGTGCGTATCTTCCAGTTCCTGCTTTGACCAAAGTGAACTCTCTCGAAGATGAAGGGATTGTCCTGAACGTTGAGGAAAGTGAAGAGCAGAAAAAAGAAATTAAAAAAGAAAGTGCAGTGGAACACCAAGAAACAAAGAAGGAAAAGCAAATGGAACAGTTTAATGAACCATCCACTAGTTCTGGGTCTGCTTGTCCAGAGGTAAAATGGATCTTCTTTTCTGTCCTGTATGTGTTCATACTTGTGAAGCAAAGCCCACCTCTTTCTGCATAGGTTCAGTGAAGAGGTAAATGCTTTCAGGCTGTTTTTGTGTCCCTCTTCAGTCACTGGCACTTCCAACATTCAATCTCAGCGGAGCACAGCCCAGGCTGTGGAACACACTGATAGAAGTGGGTGACAAGGGTGTAAGGTCTGTTTGCAGATGAGTTAGACCCATCCCTTCTTGTCAGCCACCTGGCGTCTACAGTGAGGTGACTTCTGCGTTTGTTCTCATAGAGCGGTATTACGTGTTGTAGCTGCATTTACATGATAATCCAGCTGTGCTTTTCTAAATGTTTATGGCTATTGCAGTAAATTTCTACAAAAATTTCCATTGGAAATGACTAAAACCACATCAGAATTGTGGATGCAACAGTAATATAGGTTGTTTATACAAACAAATGTGTCTGAGACAAAAGAAGAATCTTGCATGAGGAAAATTACATGCTGGAAAGAACAGGGTGTGTTTGCAGTGATGTTCTAGAGCACTGAACACTCTCGTTTGAATTCAGGTAGTTACTAAGAGTGAGGAGCCAGTCTGCAAGCTGAAAGAACTCCAAAGCAAGCAATATTTAAAAAAAGATACTGCCACCTTTTGGCCATCGAACTGGAGAAGCAAATTATGCACCTGTGGAGACTGTTTGGTATGTATTCTCTTCATTATCATAACTGATTTGGGGAAGGCAGGGAGGAGCTCTGAGAGACTCTTTGAAGGGAAGCTTGTAGTATAAATGTTCTTATTCTGCATATAAACATCTAAAAAACCCCTCCACTCCATGTGAGGAAACACAGAATCCTTTGCAATTAATACAGCACAAAAGAGCTTTGAGACATTTGTATTTTCTTTGCTACTTAAATTCAGTATAGCTTTTAAAAGTCATTGTGGGGAGATCTCTGAAATGCTGGATACAAAAATCTACATTATTAATATTTATTCTATTTGTGATATTGAACACAAAAAGGATTGGGTGAGAGCATCTCCATCTGAGAAGTTTTATGATGTAAAATTAAATCTTACTTTGTTCTCCAGAAAATGTACTCAGAGCTTGAAGTCCAGTTCCTGACAGATGAATGTGACACTGTTTTGGCTTACGAAAATAAAGGTACCAGTGACCAAGAAACAGAGAGAAGAGATCCTTTAATGGACACCCTTAACAGCATGGACAGAGTCCAGCAAGTGGAACTTATCTGTGGTAAATACTGCTTCTTTTTTAGAATCTGACTTAGCACCTTCAGTGAACAGTTTCCCCAGGAGAGTTCAGTATCAGGACTAGTGTGGTGTCAAACCCCTTTTGAAGTAGCACATAGGAGACTCTGCCAAGTTGCACACCTCAGCTAGGAGTCTTTAGAGAAGTTTGTCCTCTCTGGCCTGTGGTTACGATTTTAACTTAAATCAAGGAACTAGGTGATGTTCAGAACTTTTCCCCTGTTTGACATCTTAAATACTGTATTGATGGTAATTTTTTGGTAAGTCAATATAAAACATTAGTTTACTCTTGTGCTGTCTAGCTTATTTATCTTAGCCCGTTCAGTTGTTTCAGCAATTGCCTGATGTCTGGGGGAGTGCCAGCCAGGGTGAAGCTGGGGTGTAGGGAGCTCCCTGGCAGCTCTGCCACAGAGTGGACAAGGCAGTGGTGAGGGGTTCTGTAGCTGGAGCTGTCTCCTGAGTCAGGGGTTTGCACTCTGGTGAGGACACTTGCCCAGTCCGGAGTTGCAGACTTCCCACTAGATCCCACACGTGCTTTCCCAGTGGAAGGTGAGAGCAGGGTGGGCTTTCAATTAGTTGTACTAACTCACTTGCTGAACTACAGATTTCTCTGAGGATCACTTGAACAGATACTGAGACTGCATAGGCTACCCTGCTAACTTATTAGGCTTCTTGTGTTTACCTAAGCTTGCCTTTCCTTTTATTATTTATAATGCACTTCAAACCTTGGTTTGTCTCGAGTAAAGCTAACGAATTACAAGATGGAGTGGAACAAGTTGTCTTCTTGAGCGAATGTTAAACTAAAGCTAAATATCTTCTTTGTTGTTTTTTTTTCTTTCCCTTGCCTTTGCTTCTCCATCCAGAATACAATGATTTAAAGACAGAACTGACAGACTATCTCAGGAAATTTGCAGATGAGGGAACGGTAAGGCACAACTCAGAGAATTTGTTTGCCAGAACACGTTTTAAAGTACTGTTGAGGGGTTGGTGTTGAAGACTGTCTTACTGTATTACAGTTTTGTTTTTTTTTATGGAGTTGCTGGTACTGCAGTAGAAATGAGATATCCCTGATTTTATTGGAATGTAAAAGTTGTATTTCCTTAATGACATTGCTGGAACATAATGGGGACCTTACAGAAATCTGTCTGTAAAAGACTGAGAGCAGTTCTTAAATTAAAAATAAAAGAGTAAAAAGCTCTTAACCTTTATATTTTTGTTAGATTGAATTTAAGCCCTAAGAGGGACTGACTAAATATTTGCAAAAGTCTTGTCTGTTCTTTTCCTGGAGGAATTTGCATGCTGTTATTAACCAAGTCTGCATTTTGTTGGCCGATTTGCTAAATTGCCATTATTGGTTACATTGTAATGAACATGAAGTGAGCTAATGAAAATCTTGCTTGGTGTCAGGTTTTTCTGATGATAAAAGCCAGTGGTCAAACCTGTTAAAAATACTATTTGGAGCTTTTCTCCATGTGCTTGTTCTGCCTTTGGGGAGCTCATTACTCTTGTTTGTATTCTCTTAAAATAGAATTTGGGCATTAAACATCTCCTTTGGGTGCAACAGGAAGGATGTTTTGCTAGCTGTGTCAGCAAGGTGTCGGGATACCTGCTTTTATGTGCTTTGTGTATTACATGTGGGATGCATGCAAGGAAAAAGAAAAAGGGATTGTTTAATTGCATTTTTGTACCACAACTTGGGTTTTGCTTCCCCTAGGTGGTTAAAAGAGAAGACATTCAGCACTTCTTTGAAGAATTTCAGTCACGGAAAAGACGGCGGACAAACAGGATGCAGTACTACTGTAGTTAGACTGAGAGGGCCTGGGTCTGAAAGGAGAACTAGGAAAACAGTATTGGTTGGTGAACTGAGGAGGCATCTTCATTATTTGGCTTCTAATGGAAATGCAACTGTCCAAGAAACGTCTTCATTTTGTCTTATGCTTCCTTATTTGTAGCGACTGAAATGCATTCTTAATAGGTACTTTTGATTTGTAGGGATTTCAGAACAGATGGGCCTCACATGCCTGTGAAAGCTGGCGTCGTCTCCCTGGGGAAGAGGGCTTGTCACAGGAAATGTGCTGCTGTGTATTTCTTTTGCCTTTCACTCACTTTCCAGTTAGTGCCTACAGCTGGATGCTGGAGCAGAGCAGGCGGGCTCTGCTGTCCCCCCTCCTGTGCAGGGCTGGAGGGCCTTGCTTGCCTGCTGCAAATGGCTCTGGACCACCTCTGGGGTGTAGTGATCACAGCCAAGGCTCCCTGCACTAAGTATCTACTTCCTACACAGGGGGAGGCACAGCTCCTGGAAGGGTAGAGCAGGCAGGTGTTGTGGTCTGGGCTGTTGGGTGCAGTTGCGTTCTAACCTGTGGGTCACATCAGGTGAACTAAACAGCACTGATCTGCACACTTGCTCTTCACTGTGGAAGTGCTCCCTAGGCAGGTGAACAATGAGAAATCTGAGGTTAGGCTTGATGCAACAGAATTTTTATAAATTCAAACACTTTGTTTCTAATAACTGTACAGTGATGTTTTACATGCAAAAAAAATTCTCACATGGAATTTACCCACTCACTAGAATATAAACAATATGTAGGAGGAGGTACTAAATTACAAATTAAGCAGGGGAGGGGGTGAGGGAGTTGTTACAGGATTTCTAATGTGCTTTGATTTTAAAACCTAGCCTACTGCAAGTTACTCTCCTTCACAGATGTTCCTGAAAACACTCTAGTATCCTGGCACTTTTGCTACAGTATAAAATGTGCGATCTTTTTATAATCACTGTGATAAGAATGGAACAGATGTTTTACTGACTTTTAAGAACCTACACTTAGCTACAATTAAGTATTAACTTTTCGTAAGTTTGGACCCTAATGTAGTTTTTAGTTTTCTTTACCCATATGCCCCCAAACATACCTAGAGTTCCAATTTTTAGCTCTTGCTTTATATAGTCAGAGGATTTCTTTACCATGAGGTACTACCCACTTCCACGTTCATGACTTTTGAGAAGAAAACCAGACCTTTACCTATCATTCTCCTTGCTGTTTCTCACTGTTTTATTTACAAAAACTAGCTCTAGCATAGAGGCTCAGTTCATTGGTTTGTTTCATGTAAAATGACTAGTTGCTTTTGAATTTAACTCTGGGTACTGTATGTGCTTTTTTTTGGTAGCAACTGTTACAGGATTTGTAACTGCATAGCTAACTACACTATCTAGAAATTAAAGAACTCTTCAGTCTGTGCTGTCTTGTTTATTTTGAAGTGCTGCTGTAGTGTTTTGTTTTCATCCATGATCCAGACAACCCCAGGGCAGCACAGGGATGGCCTGTCACCCGTGTGGCCAAGACAGCTCAAAGGCAGAGTCAGAGTTTTCCAACTTTTCCTAGTTTTCCATGTAAAGATCAGCAACAGCTTCCAGGAGGCAGGTCAGTGCTCTAGAGCCAGGCAGGCCCATTCCCACTGCTGGCTGTGATCCAGAAGTGACCTCAATGTTGTAGAGAGGGAGGGGTTTAGTTGCAGGAAGCTAATTTCCACAAAATAGAATCGTTACAATATCACAGCACAGGATCAGCGCTGGTAACACACACTGGCCACTGGTGACATCAGCCTGTGCTGCAGTCACGGAGCAGGGTTTACCTGAAGAGGATGCAGCCCCTAACAATTCCCCTTCCCAGCTTGAAAGTATTTGTGCTTCCTTCCCAACAGCTTTCCTAGTGAAGAGGCACCCTCCCTTAGATTTGGAACAAAAATGAACAAAATCCCTGCAACACTAAGTGTCAAATTTGTCTAGTTGAAGTTATTCCTAAAGCTCATGTTCCTCAGTGTGGGAATGGTGTCAATAATTAACATTTAAGCCCTTACAGTATTCTTCTCTTCCCACCCCCACTTTCTGTGGGGACATAACCCACAGTATTTTGCTTGTACATGGAGACCAGTCACATCTTTCTGCTACTGGAGGACACTGCTAAACTTGAGTCATCTCTTTGAAGTAGGGAAACACTTTGTTTCAGTGAGAGAGATGTAATGAATATTCAGCTGACGGAGAACAGCAGTTCGAGAATGCTGGGAACTTAATGAGTGCCTTTGTCTAGATGCTCTGATGGGAAAGTAAACACTTCTAGATCAAGGGCTAAGCCCCAATGCCCCAACTGAGTAATCCCATTGCCTGTAATAGTGAATAGTCACAGTGCCTTAAGCTCTAGCCAGATGAACTCACTGAAACATTTCACTGAAGTGCTTCTCCTTTTTAATAAGCTGCTCCAACAGTGCCACTAATTTTCAGTTCCTCTTTTTACACTGGTTTCTATCACAGCTATGATGTTCAAAAGCATTAGTGTGCTGTTTTGTTTTGTTTTCCAGAGGGAACAACAAACCTTGTCAGATTTAAGAGCCTTTACTGTTTAAGGGCACCTTACAGGTGGCATTAAACCACTCCCTTCCCCCTGGTCATCCCAGTGAGGCTGGAGCCAGGTGGGTCAGCTGGTGAGAGCTAATGGGAAGAAGTCACACAAGCACCTTCTATACAAGCCATTTATTTGAAATGCCAACTATACGTAGGGTAAAGTCAGTGTTACATGCTTCTCAGCAACAGTAGAAAAATAGAACCAGTGAAAACCTTTTTACAACTGCAATGGTACTCAAAAGAGAAATGTATTGTTTTACAATGCATCACACAAGACTAGAATTCAAGTCTGGAGGTACCTAAATAAAAATACTATTTTTTTAAAAAAACACTATGTACAATTGAAGCGTAAACAAGTTTTACAAAGTACTGGTTATGCAGGTTGTAGAAAAAACACTTGCATAGGACACGAAGTCAGTTTAAGAAAATTTTCTGAGCCTTTAGCATTGAAGGCACTTGACTTTATACCAGTAACAACACAAAGACAAGAAACAAAACCGTAACATTGCCAAAGGCAGAGCTACCTCTGGCAGTACAGATAATTACAGAAGCCCCAAATATGGTTTTACAGTTTTCTCTCCCAGCTGTTCCCTGCATTCAGCAGAGCTCAGCACCACCTCTACCAAAGAAGCATACAACTATTAGAAAGAACAGGGCCTCAAAACAGCATGAGTATTCTTTCAAAAAAAACCCCACAAAAAGCCAAACCAACCAACCAAAAACTAAACCCCCCAAAAACCCCACAAAACCCAAACCAAAGAAACCCATAAGACAAACATTTGGGACATACCATGACCAAAAAACAAGGCTTACAAGGGGCCACAGCCTCAACTTTCAGAAATTACACTCCTCAAGAACAGGAAAAATACATCAAGAAACTGCCAGTCAACACAGCAGTTAACACACAACTACAGTAACTCCGTAGAACAACAAAACATTTCAAAGGAAGAATGTTTCAGGAATTAAGTTATTCATCCATATATTAAGGAAAAGAGGAGGGGGAAAGGGAGTACGTTTTTGCATGGTTGCTCACTAAATGAAAATCTGAGCTCTCTCTTTAATAGAACAAGGAGCGCAAGTCTTCCTCATTCAAGAAAACGTTCATACCTCTATTTCTCAAGCAAAATACAGTCAGTAATCTGTTATATCCATCAGATTTACAGGAGGAAAAGATGTTAATTTCCAGCCTAATCAGAAAGTGCTTCATGTAAACAAGGAGCTTCTGCACCAAAGTTTCAGTAGACAGAGAACAAGAATTAGCAGGTAGCACAGGTATGTGTGTTCTGCGAGTGAGATGTAGTATGAACGCCAGCTGCTGTATAATGCCACCATGGAGAACAAAGATGGTCTCTCTCCCCTCCCTCTGCATATCCAACCAAGTAAGCTTAGTAAATCCTACACTGGAGTACAAAAAATGCAGTTCCAGTAATCTGACAAATCATTCCTTCCCACTTCAGAATCAGCTGCTCTTAGCTGCTATCTTCTTCTCAATTCTAAATATATAAGTAAAAATGCAGATTGTCTACATGGCCTGATTGTCTTTGTGGCCTCAGAAGGACTTGTCTTTTATTTCACACCTACTTCTGAACACTTTATTATCTTTTTAATACTGCTCAGCTTCTGAGACTTCAGAAGCAATTTTGTAATCTAAAATGCAGACCTGTCCCCCCAGAGGCATTTCTCACCAGCTTATTCCAAAGCCAAAGCATTTCATGATTTCCCTCAAGTCATAAGCTCAAAATTTCTGAGTCTTCATGTGCTGCATCCCCACAAATTTCAAGCTTAAAAGTTACATCTGTACATTTCAGCCCCACCTCTGTCCAGGCACACAGTGCCACGTCCAACTATGGTAACTAAAATAGTTTTCTCACAGTAAATCGATTTTAGGTAAAAATAAATTATTCAGAACAGTAGGACTTCTGAGGACAGCTCTGAGGTTTTAGTAATTAGGCTGCCAACATATGTATGACACAAGTGCAGTGAGTTTTGGGGTTTTTGTGTGTGATGGAGGTTAATGCTTCTAGTGCTGGTGAGCATGAGAACTGAGTGTCTGGTTTGAGCCCTGCAGGCAGACAGCACTAGGCTCAGATCTTCAGAGGAAACCCAATGCACCTCAGTCTCTAACCTGCAGCACAACTGTCCCCACATTGACATCATCTATCATTTAACGATGTTCTACACTGCAGTCCCATGAAAATACTACATATTGGTGATGAGGCCAGGACCATCAAGTGTCTGGTCTGTGGTAAAAAAACCAACACAGATTAAAAAGGCTGACAGAGGGGAAAAAAGGAAGATCTTCCCTCACCCACAACACACAGCACTTGTGCAGCTTAGCCAAATTTCTCCTCCAATTCTATGTTTCCATGGCTGCATCTCAGAAGGAGTATCTGCAGAGCTTTCATAGAAGCAGAAGGCCCCCCTGGTTTACATGCAGGAGACATGAGGACTTACTGGTTCAAACACCCACATTTTTTCTAGATGCTATTTGGTAGTTTGGAAATACAGTATTCAATATATTTCACTAACATCGTGGTGTTGCTACCAGGCCTTGCATACCTTAATGAAGCCGGTTAGATCACCAACTAAAAGTAAAGTTGCAGC